ATATGAAGTCGGTCTCTCTTTACTTATACAACTGTAAAATGAAAATAAAAACTCAGAAAGAACGCATAACGATGAAAAATAAACCAAAAATGTAGAAGAAGTTGACATTATTTAGAAAACACACATAAACAATTAGGAATTTTGGAGTGGAATAATAATAATGCAAAGGAAAAGGAAGGTTCTTTTGGGGATGATGAGCATATAAGAAAGGCAAGTTAGCCTTTGATCATCGCTTCTTTACCAAGGGTATATGATTCCCACGTCTTCCCTTTTCAGCTGCTTCTCTCTCGACCATTACATTCTTATTTGGCCTTTTCTTCTATGACTCAACTACACTTTTTATAGTTTTTACTTGTTGGGGGTAACAATGTAATTTAACTTTTTTAATTTTAGAAGAAATTAAAACCGCGCAAGGAAAAAAGCTGTGAAGTAAGTAACAATATAATATGTTCGTAATTGTTTTTGGGTATAATCACCGCGGATGTAGGAATATCTAGCAATAGTGATACAAAAAAAAACTCGATCAAATATAATAACATAAACCTAGAAAACGAGTTCGTGTCAGGTCGGGTCAAAATGGGACAAACCCATAAAATCCGTCAAACTCAGACGAACTCAAACCAAAAAAACTTTTACTAAAAAAAATTAGTTTGAACAACATTAAAGAAATCCAAACTTTAAACAAGTATTTGAGGTTTGATGAAGTTTATAATTGAACTTGCAAAAAAAACCAGTAAACAAGATGTCTTTTGCCCTTAGTCTACATTATCCTTTTTATAAAACGGATTTGACTCTCATCTTCCTTTCCACCAGCGATGTAGGATACGATGAGAGTTCATAAATTATGCCTTTCAATATTTCAACAAGTAAAAAAAATGAGTTTTTCATTTTTATTAGTATTTTTTTTTTACTAAAACCGGTGTTACCAGATTTAAACCCGGAACTTAACATAATATATCATTTATAGTTATCATTTCAAATAAAAGTTATGCGTAAAAAATAATATTTTAGTATATTTTATTAGGTACTTGTTTTAGTGGTTGACATTATCATATCAATAGTGAAAATAAGGTTCTCATTTCTATTAGTATTTTTACCAAAACCGATGCTACCAGGTTTAAACCCGAAACTTAACGTAATATATCATCCATAATTAGTATTGCAAATAAAATTTATTTGTAAAAAAATAACATATTAATATGTTTTATTAGGTACATGGTGGTGGACATTATCATGTTGACAATAGAAATTTTTTAACCTTCAGTTACGAAATCGAGTAGTGGCCCCAGGACTCATATAATCACAAAAATAACAATGTTTTATTAACGATATTTGTATTTGACCCACATTTTTAGGCTTTGGTCGAAATGGCTACCCAGGTTATTCTAGATTTCAGATATATATATATATATATATATATATATATATATATATATATATATATATATATATAAAGTAAAGTCACTTTTTATTTGCATCTCACATTTTCAAAAATTCTCTCTCGACCTTGATGTCGAAAATATGTAAATGCTAGTGATTTTATTATTGTTATAGCATGGTATACTAAAACATTGTAATTTTCATGTACAAGCGATATCTTGTAAATTTACAATATCATTCTTCATATAATCATATACTTCAAAGATAGAATTATTGATGTGGTATACATTCCAAGGTCCATACTTGAGCATCCTCTTTCAAAACACCATCTATGTATAAAGTGAGACAATCTGGAACTTCTATCTTGTACATCTAGTCAATTCAATCAATGTTAAGCTCGTTCTATTAGCTTCTCGTACTGTTTAAGGGTTCATTTAAGCGTTCTAAGCTTGCGTACAACCGAGGTTGAGGTTAGGAATGAGTCAGCAAGTCGTATAGTAATAAAACCGGGTCATACACTCCTTTAAGAGGAGTGTACAGCCGTACACATGAGTGTGCGGCCGTACACCCCCCCTCATGGCAGCACACCCACTCTTATATAAAGGGTAGACCCCTTTCGATTCATTCCTTTCACTCCTTGGCCGCACACTACACCATTCTCTCAAGTTTCTTCAACCGTCAACCCTCCAAAGCATCAAGAACGTGAGTAATTCATCCTCTAACTTGTTAACCTTGAAAGACCACTCTATCTAAGCTTTGAGTCTGCAATAATCGTCATGTCCTTCATGTCTTGAAGGGAGTGCAACCGAACACTCCTAAAAGACCCTCCAAAGTGAGAGTTTGACCCCTATCTTCGAGATGGATATGACCCCTAGCCTTGTTGCACCTTAAAGTCGACATTTTGGGCATATGCATGAAGGGTGTACGACCGCCCACCCCTGTGTACGGCCGCACACACACCTTAGGGCCGCAAACCCACTTCTATGACCCTTATTGACCTCAAACTTGCACTACAACCAAGCATGGACCTAGAACACTTCATGGATGCCAGTAAGAACCTTGAAAACACCTCAAAGACAGCTTCCATCATGAGTGTATGACCGCACACCTCATGGTCCGCACACCCATGGCCGCACACACCTATAAGGTGGCCATACACCCCCTCACTCAATACCATAAGGTTCCAACACTTAGTGCAAGTGGTGCCAAGTCCCTAGAGTGGTTTCGTATCATGTCTAGTAGCGAAATGCCCTAATTTGGCTCCTATATGTATTATTACATGTTGAATAGGGTCCAATCGTGTTCAAGGCTTCACTTGAACATTCAGCATCCTGTATCGATCCTTCATTCAAACCACTCACTCGAGGTGAGTTCATACCCCTACGCTTTTTACGATTTTTAATGTTTTTAGGGGGGGGGGGGGATACAAGCCAAATACAAAGTATTTTATTAAGTTTTAAACTTATTAATATAGTTCAATGATTTCCATGTATAATAAAATATTCAGATATTTTATCCCTTTTTTGTACTATGTTGAGCATAAGGGACGCTCTTATTTTGGAAATCTAAATTCATAGTTTTCAGAATGGTTTTATAAAGCATTTCTGTATCATTTCAAGTAAACTATAATGGGTATAGTTTGGGATAATTCAAGATACAGCTTTTACCAATTCAGATTTCATGCATGAGTGAATATATATAAACTATGGCAGATTTAGTTTATGGTATATATTTTCTCAGGAGTATAATATATAATTATTACTTTATACTGTTTTCAACATGTAAACTAGATTATACAGAATTGTGAGGCTCTACTTTGAAACTGTACCCTTAGGTGTACAGGGCTAAATCCTATCCTAGTATAACCAGAGTCTCCTGGAGGGAGAGCGTGAGATTTGTGAATAGATCTATTCGGGACTGACAATCCCACACCTGAACTGCTAGCTACAGTTAGGTAGGCATGCCTGAGGTGAAAAATGCCATTTAACCAACGTCTGAAGAACATTGAAAAGGTCTCTAGGTCATATCAAGTATGGTTATACGACTCACAAATAAGTATAAACTAATCTTTTGTTTACATGATTTCATTCCTCATTGGTTTTAATTTAATTAATAAAACTACTTTCATATATATACTGATAGTAATCAGGGTTTTCAAAAGTTCAATGTGATAACGATTTAAGTATGGTAAATAATTGTACCTCTCACTCTAGAACGGATAGTCCAATAACCTGTTTTTAGGGAAAATATAGGATTTTCCCAGGATAACACCGGCATTTCTAAAAACTGATGGTTTATCAATCACTAACGGATATTCATATTCATTCCATGACTCCTTGGCTTATGCGTAACTATTATGAACCTGGAAGTCATGAAAGGAATGAGTTTTAATCATGCTTTTCATAAGAAAATAAAGGATTTTCTTGAGGAACACTTTTCAAAAGTATCAAAGAACATTTTTCTCTAAAACTAAATGATTATCAACTTACCAGCTTTATGCTGATACTTTTTCAAAACTGCTTGTATTCTCAGGGAATTAGTAGACAGGTACTTCCAGGAGTTTGGAGAAGTCGGAGCGTTAGTGTCAGGTCTTTCTATTTTACTTTTGATATAAACAAAACTATGTATTAAGTCAATGTAAACTTTTTTCATATATGTATTCAATGTTTCGTTGTGTTTACTATGATTGCTATGATACAATTGTTGAGATACTACACGTGGCGTCCTCCACCCCAGAACATTTCCGCCGTTCCAGTTTTGGGGTGTGACATAAATGGTGCTGTCTATTAATATCAATGGCCGTAAGTAGTTTAAACGTTCAAAATCACAAATTATTATACCATTCATCACAACAACTAATCAAACTGAAACAACAAAGTAATGTTGTATTAAGAATAAACTATAGTACTATACCACGACAACTGAGGGTAAAACATAAGAACTCAAATTGAACATAGTCGTCTTTCTTGACGTCTTTCTTGATATGGATAATTTTTGTGGGATTCACTTTTTCTAGATTGTAACTCCAGACAAAGAGGTTAGAAAAGTTTCTTCATGGATAACGATGGATGGGCTCATTTCTAATAACAATGGATTTTTACAAGACATAAATTGTATCAGAAGTGCTTGGGATAGGTTAAAAGTATATACACTCCAAATGTCAGTCCACAACATGTATCTGAAATCGAACCATGTCAAATAAAATAAGTCGGAAATGTACTTTCTAAAAAACTAGTTTGAAATGTCAAAATTCAGAAGAATTTAGGTCCTATATCTTGACACTCTGATATGCATTTTCTCTAGTCCCAATCGGTTCATTTCGGAAACTACCCAAAAGTTATGTCATTTTCCTATATTCCACAAAAGTATTTAATAATTTTTGTGAATAACCCTTGTTTTTGGAACTTCTTTAACTTTTTCAATGGGTATAACGAAGCCACTTATGTCATAATGCCCCTTGTTCTAGCTGTATATATAGCAAAAACTTTATATATATACATAATTCAAATAAGTCTATATATACACACATAGTGGCCTTTGTTTTATGAGTTCTATTTCTAACCATTAATGTATTCCCCTCCTTTTCACACACACGCGCACCAAACGTGAACCGGTGAACGATGAATCCATCTATCCAAGCTGTAGCTTTGTTCATGATTAGTCTCACAACACTAGCATCTATGATCAATGGCGACAATCTTCAAGAAACAAATTCGGTGCCTGAGTTGCCCGATGCATCAATTAAATGTGGTTCATGCCCCTGCGTAGACCCTTGTCGCAGCCAGCCAACGTTTCCACCACCTCCGCTGCCATCACCATCGCCACCACCACCTCCACCACCACTTCCGTCACCACCACCTCCTTCTCCGCCACCACCCGCTACTCAGTATTGTCCTCCAGCTGTTGTGGCAAAACCACCACCTCCACCGAGGTTCATTTACGTGACTAGCCCACCTTCGTCAGTCAATCATCCCTTCACCTTGAATGTGTACTCCGGTGGCTGTAGCCGTCGCGTTGGTGGAGTTACTGGTTGGATTTTTGTGGTTGGTTGTGTGGTTTTAGAATGGTTGTTGATTTGAGTTTGAGGTATTACTACTAGCTAGTTTTTTTTTTCTAATTTTTTATTTACTTGTTTCTTATGTGATAAATTATCTTATCATTTATTGTAACCATATATAAATTTATTATTTATTATTATTAAATAAAGAAATCATTTATTTTCAATCCGTTAATAATATCGTATGTCACGTATAAAATTTTCAAGGGACATTGCATAAGCTCGGTTTCTAAGTGTTTAATTATTGACCTTAATGTTAAATCCGATTAGGTCAAAAGTAGTAACCACAATATGTGTGGGGCATTTGATTCGTGGTATTTTGTGGGATTTCGGAAATAATTGAAATTTAATTTTTGTGTTTGGTTGTAAAGCGACGAAATATTAAAATACCCTCTTTGATGGATTCCAAAAGTACTTCCTAACATCATGGAATCAATTCCTATCCCTTTATCACTTGTTAAATTTACAAAAATACCTATCAACCATAATAAAATTACAAAAACAACCGTTAACACTAGAATTTCATTTTTTAATTAGTAAGATTTATATATTGTTTGAATTTTGTTTCATGGACAAATTGATGTTTACCGATATGTATAATTTATTTGTTTTTATGTAAAAATATTTTTAAGAAATTTTGAACAACAAATTCGTAAACATTAACTTAAAATGTTTTACAATTATTTAAAAAGGTTTTGTTAAAGTAAAAAGTTCATACCACTAACCAATCATGTTTTAAAATTTAATTCTTTCAAATTTCAATTCGTGAAAATTCCATATCCTTTCTGACCAATGTACAAGCCAAGTATTCTTTAGTATTATTTCAAGGTTAACAATGATTGCGATTTAATGAAAGAAAACCTAGTCTAAACTTCAATTGCAAATTCGCATTGAGATTTTCTAGATAAGTTATTTATTTTGGAACGGTGGTTTGCCTAAACGTTGAAGCATAAGGGAACAAGGGCGACTTTACATATTCATTACATATGTCCATGGACAGGTGAAGGATGAATCTCTTTAGAAGTTTAGAGATCATACAAAAAAAAAATTGGACACCTTTTGTTTATATGTTTGGACACGCTTCGTTTGGGGAACACTCTTGTTAAGAGATAATTGATAATAGGAAATGACCAAAAGTTACATAATAGTCTCTCAAGTGATAAAGAGGAAGTGAAGTTGCAATAATTAAATATTTCACAAAACAAAATATGACAGAGAAGCGATGTAGGCAATTTGTCCACCGTAACACTGCCATCATCATCACGCTCCTTTGTCATTGTCGTGTCTTGTTGTTGTCTACTCATCGACTCACCCTTTGCAAGTGTTATCACCCCTAGTCTTTCTTCCACTCCACTCAAACACTCATATATGTTGACTCAGCTCCTCGGATGAGATTAAGTGATCATAGGTTAAATGAAAATGCTAATTTAAATCTAGTTTGGCTTTTTGATAAAGTGACACTATTTCATATGTTTCCAATACATGAGTTGTCGCCCTATCCTCCGATATCACTGCCTTCTGATCACTTTATTTCTGGTTGACGAGACATGTCATGTTTGTCGCAAGGCATGTTTGGACTCTTTTGATGAGCATGTAGTTCATTGCAGAGAGCTCACGGGTTTCAAGTACCGACACAATTTGGTTAGAGATGTTTTTTTTTGACATATCTAGGCGCTTCAGAGTTTCTGCCAAGAAAGAGGCACATGTGAACTTTTTGATTGACCCGGTGGAAGGAAGATCAACACTTAGATCAGATAACGAACATGTTGGGTAGTATTTTCGGTAGAATGAGGGGAGGGTGAGTGAAGAATGTTGTTGAGATATGATGAGGGGTCGATGTTATCATTAAGAAAACCATATCGGGGGGGGGGGGGGGGGGGGGTTGTTAGGCGTGTCATACCCATACGGGAATACTGTTTCCTAAAAAATGACATAACGAGAAATTATAATTTTGCGGGAAGATCATAGCAACGAAAGCCGCTATGAAGAGATGGATAACCAAGGAAAATAAATGGAGTGGTTCGTAGTTGAAGTTTGTAGGAGGTGATGAGGTGTGGATAGTAAATACAACCAAATACTTTAAGGTTTGAATATGATAAATGACGTTTGTAAAGACGAAAAAATGGTGTGTCATTGTGAATGGGGGTGGGTGGAACAATGTTGAGTAAATATGTTGCCATGTGGAGAGCTTAGACCCAAAAATGGGGAGGTAGATGAGATTAAAAGAGAAGTGTGTGTATAATGTTATCTATAGTGTGAATCATGTGTTCCATTTTGTCATTTTGTTGGGATGTATGCAGACATGAAAAACGGAAGGTAATGCCATTTTTGGCAAAGAAATCATGAAATATTTTTTGGTTGTATCCCCCCCCCAATTGTCACATGTAACATCCTAAATATTGAGGTATGAAAATGAAAGAAAATTTAGGTTTTTGCGTGGGTCACGATGTGAGGGAAGCACCGTCATGTCGTGACAAGGCCGCGTTCTTTGGGGGGGTGGTCTTTCGAGTGTCACGAAGTGACACTCTATTGTCCCCGACGAGAAACCTCGTCAGATGCAAAACCCTAATTTTAGACTTGGACCCCATTTAAAAGAAGTGAGGGGCTAGGGTTTCCTTCACCCTCAACCTCCATCACCTCCAAACGAACCTTTGGCCAAACCCTAGCTCCTTTGAAGCTTTTGAGCTCATTCTTGAAACTTTTGGTGGTTTTGAAGGAAGGAGAAGAAGTTGTGGTGCATAGTTTCCCCAAGCAACCTTCCCCTCACTTGTGTGCATATTCTGGAATCTTTGTAAGTCCTCAAGTTTCCATCTTTTAATGTTTTCCTCTTTAGATATAGGTTTTATGTCATCATTTGCTCTCTTTAATGTGGTTGGTATGGTTTGTGCCACGCCCTATTCTGAATCATCTCTTATAATGGGGGTAGTAACCCAAAGACCGAGTATCATCTGGCTTAGGGCCTTTGAGGAAAAGAGATTTAGACCCAGTTGGGTGTGGGTAATGTAATTTGGATGATCCGGGAGTTTGGTCTGTGTTTTGGCGCCAAGGGGTATTTCGGTAAAGTGTCAGTTCGGGCTTTTATGAATTTTGAATTTTTGTTCGAAACGTTTTAAGGCAAGGATGAGTTGATAGAAGTGTAGAGCTTCTCGTTACCTTTCTGTGCATATAAAGAACGTCAAAATCAGAGTTAGACGAAGAAGTTATGCTCGTTTGAAGTTTGGTTGATTTTGGGTTGTGCTGAGTACGTTGGACGTACTGAGGCACCCTGAGTACAAAAGCGAGTACGTTGGGCGTACTGAGGCACCCTGAGTACGCTGGGTGTACCAGAAGTATGTTGGGCGTACGTAATCAATGCCCAAACCCTATTTTCGTTGTTTGAGCCCTATTTAAGCCCATAACTCCCCCAAACCCACTCCATTCTCAACCTCCACCCCTCCAACACCCCTTCCATGAAACCCTAACCCTAGTTGAGCCTTATGTGCTAAAAGAAGGTGTTTTTGAGTGCTTTGGAGTATGTGTGGTGCACCTTGAGAAGAAGGAACTTCTTGGAGAAGTGTTGGTTGCTTTGAAGCTTGTGTTGGATTAGTGTCTATGCCCGTAACTATATTTGGTAAGTACTTGACCCGCTTGTGCATGGTCCTTTTGGGTTGCCTTCACCAAAGCAACATGATAGGATGATTTATATATAAAGAGGTTATTATTATGATTTATTAATATATTATATGATTAATATATTAAAGGAGAAATCATATAGTTTAATTAATATTAGACAAGAATTAATTAAGAATTAATTTTGTGGCTAAAGGAGATTAATTAAATAAAGGGGACTAGAACTGTCAAATGTTTGATAGTTGGTTTTGGGTTGTGGATCCTTATGGATCATAGGGTGGACGAAATTAAGGTGTATGGACTCCTTGAATTCGTCCAAGCCCTAATCTAGAAGGATCCTTGGACTGCTTAAGGCCTAAGTAATCCAATTAGGGTTTCAGGCTGTAACCCTAGCAGCTCAAATATTTAAAGAACCCAGGGGCTACAGAAATCGGCTACCAAAAACCCTAAGGAGTTCCTAGATCCGATTTTGTGTCCTCAACCTCTCTCCATATCATCCTCTTGCTAGTTGGTGTTTGTAAGCCATTAGAGGAGTGACAATTATGACTCTAAGCTCCAAGACAAGAAGAATCAAGCAAGCTACAAAAAGGTAATCATCTAGATCTGAGTTTCTTATGTCAATTTTTGAATTGTATACACTAGATCTAGGGTTTGCAAGACTTGCATAAATTGCATGTTCAATTAGAGAAACCTAGATCCAAGCACTAGGGTTTGCATGTACACATAGGAAAGTTCTTATGGCTCAAACCCATCCGTGGTATCAGAGCTTTGATTGATTTCTATTGAATTGATGCCTTGATTGTTTGTTCAAGCCTTGAAAAAATCGTTTTTTTGCCCCCTGACTGACAGACTCGGTGAGTCCCATTGTGGACTCGACCAGTAGGATGAACTCGACGAGTCCATAAGGGGACTCGGCGAGTCAGAGCGTCTGTCACTGTGATTTTCGGGATTTCTTGCTGTTTTGCTTAAGGATTCTTGCCTAAATCGTTTTGGTTTAATAAAATCCGAATTTTATCACCTGTTTTAGCTATATCTTTGACAAAACAAAAGATAATTACCATTTATTTAAATAATAATTTCCTTATTTGATAATAATTGATTATTTGAATTAATTGTTGAATTATCTTGCAAGAAACATTGACTAGGTCAAATTTAGATAATCATAAAATTAATTGGTTAATTTGTATTATTTGCTATTTGATCCTTTGTGTTTTGAAAAGTTCAAAACTTGTCCTCAAGTTTTGAAATTTAAGTTTTGTGATTAAAAGTTTTAATTTGAACTATTTAAATTTGAAACCTTAGAATTTTACAAGTTTTAAAAATTCAACCTTATACTTAAAATATTACAAGATTAATATGTATAACTTAAATGCTAGTCTTACTGTTAGTAGGCCTCATTCACGAAGCCGATCT